CCGACCTGGGCTTCCTGGGGCCACCTACTGAATAACCCACTTGGACTTGATTCCTTGCCTCTGGGCCTGCTTTGGAGGCACCAGCCTAAGATGTAGGGTCATGGGGAGGTTGGCATGAGGTAACAGTGTGAAATTCCGGGAGCCAGATCTAAGGTGCATGCGCCTCTTCCTCGAATGCTCTGCTGTCTGAGGTCTTCCTCCCCCCCTGGGGCGGGGGTGCCATGTTTCACACACAGGCCACACGCTCCTCAGGAGCTCATCGTGGCTGCTGCTGTGGCCGGTGCGAGCTTGTAGGATTGAGACACAGGGAGGCAGCCCAAGAACAGACTCCTTCAGGCCAGTTGGCCTGACCCTCCTGGTGGGATGGGTTCCTGTTAAGGCTTCAGACTTCTTCTGAGAGCCTACTATGTGCCAAGTGCCAAGCTGGGTGTGGCGGGGGTTGTGGAGATGACTGGACCTGGCTGCTGGCCCCCAGTTCTTACAGCCTGGACATAGAGGCTGTAAGGGAGTGGGGTGGGGGGTGATATCATCTTGCCAGGGAGGGGACCAGGCCTGGAGGGGCCATGTGACCTGGCTGCCACCCCACAGCTTCTGAGAAGGCAGGGCTGCAGTGGCAGGACCCAGCACAGGGCTCCTGGATGGACGGAGCCAGAACAGTGCCGGTGGGGAGGGGCTTGGCACACTCTGCAGGCTTGTGACCCCCGCCCACCCGTAGGCTGCGTGGAGGGGCGAAGCAAGAGCTGATGTCTGGCTCCTGGGAGTGAGAATGTTGCAGGAGACCCCCTCCCTAGACAGAAGTTGGATCGTCTGAGAACACCTTGGCCCACCTAGCCCAGGGTCCCTTCTGTGGTCACCTCCCTCATTCTGCCACAAGCAGCCAAGCCAGGAAATGATGCTTCCCTCCCCCGTGGCTCCGGCCCTCATTACTGTAAACCCTGGGATTAATTTAATTACATGCTCATCTTTAAGAGGCTGGGGCTCACAGGCGCCCAGTGGGTCATGAGTCGCGAGGCTGCCGGGAAGGCCGGTCCTCCCCGGAGTCAGCTCTTCCTGGAGTCTCCTGTCTTCCAGCCCCCACCCGGGAGGGTCCACCTTGCTCCCTGGCTCCTGCAGCACGGAGAGCCTGGTTCGGGAGGCTGAATGTGGGGACGAGGTCAGGCATCAGTGGGAGCTGTGTGACATGCAGGTGCTAGTATAGTTTAATCTGTTCCTTTTTTTTTTTTTTTTTTAAATAAAAGAAAGATTTCTCCCCACTCTAGATTATTTGAAAAGTAGCAAGAAATGGTGAATAAAAATAAAAATAAATAAATTAAAAAATTCTCATTCCCTCATCCGAATGCCACCGTCCATCAATATTTCTACGTGCTTCCCTTCCTGAATTTATTTCAGTGCATAGATATTTTTAAACATAGCAGCCGTTATACATATAATTTTGTGTCCAGTTCTTTCCACTGGCATTTTAAGTGTTTTTTCATGTTGTTTAGGCAGGATACTCTTTCTAAACATCATTTTACTGATGACAGGGTGGAACTCTCTGCTATTGTTGGACACAAATAGTTATTTCCAGTTTTGGCCACTATCACACGCTCTGCATTTATGATTAGAATTAATTCTTAAGGATTGATTCCACTGGGATTATTGGATGGTCTAAAAAATTTTTTAAGTCTGTTACATTGTTCTTTTGAAATTAAAAAGAAGGGGTTGGCCAGGTAGCTCAGTTGGGTAGAGCGTGGTGGTGCTAATGCTCAGGTCCAGGGCTCAATCGCTGTGCCAGCCGGCCACACAAGATCACATTAAGTTAAATTAAGTTAAAAGGAAAAAACCCAACAAACCTTGGTGGTCTGAAGTGTATTTTGTTCTGTGCAGCCGCTTGGGGCTTTGGGTAAACCTGAACAGATGGATTTAGTGGGGGCAGCTCTGTGGTCTGGGGCCATAGAGGTGGCCTCTGTGTGTGCCCACACATGTCCCCATAGGGAGGACAGCTGGCTTGGTGGGCCTGTGGGCCTGTCTGTGATCCTCCTCCTGGGTATGGCTCTGTCACTGCTCATTATTTCTCACTGCCATCCTGTGAGGTGGGTGTTAGACCCCAGCTGTGGCTGAGGGGACAGCTCGCTGAGACAGGCGCAGGACACCCAGTGTGGGTGCTGAGTCTGGGCAGCACATCTGCAGCCTCGGGCCCCAGCCCACGATTCCGACTGTGGTCTGACTGAGGAGGGAAAGCTGGGAGCTCCTGGCTCACCCCATGGGAATTGGTGGAGTGAGATGGGTGGGCAGCACGCTCGCCTTCTGGGGGTTCTGTGTCTGTAAAGAGCAGTGCATGGTTTAGCGCCCCATCTCGGGCTGTTGGTCACATGTGCATGGCTGATCCTCCTCCTGGCTTGGTGCTGTGCCTGGGAGTGCTGTCCCATGGTGGGGGTGGTGGCTGTGGCGAGCAGGGGGCTTTTGGTTGTGCCTGAGGACTGCGCGTTTTCGTTCTGTCTGTGCCAGCTTCTCTCCAAAGGCTTGGTGCTGCCAGCTCTGCCTGGGGTGGCCAGAAACTCTGGGTCCCGAGGACTGACCTGCAGGGGAGGGCCTGGATGGTGGGAGAGGGGCTAGAAGGCTCACCCACCAGTGAGTGGGAGCACTTTGTCTCTTGCAAGTCTTCATTGAGGTGCCAGATGCAGGTGGGCTGCGTGTCACACATAGGGTGGTGGGCATTCCCAGAGGGAGACCACACATGGATCAGGTGGTCTTTGGGGTCTTCTTGTCGTAACTCAGTCAGGATGAGAGAGCTGGAAGGGTTTTTGGCATTTAGCTGGTCTGTTGCTGCCCAGCTGGTGTTCCAGGGACCCCTGCTGTTAATAGGATACAGGGTAGGAAGGTTTGGGGAGCCCAGGCTGCACCCCATATCTCTTCACATGCTCAGAGGGGCCCAGTGCATCCTGCACACTGAGGCTTTTACCCATTTTGCCTATTTGTGTGGGAACTGCTTATCAATGTTGATTGACCAATAAGTAAACTGAGTCTGGGGAAGGAAGGTAGGAGACAGGCACGGGACATGGACTGTGGTGACTGCCAATCAAAGAAGGGTGTGAGTGAACCCGTTTTACAAGCTGTGGCCACCAGGGCTGGCCAGGGTCACCTGCCAAGTCACAGCATGCAGGGTCTGACTGAAGTCACATGCCTGGGACCAAATCTCATCTCCCCTGCTTCTCTGAAATGTGCTGGCCACAAGTCACTTTTCTACCTGGAACCTCGTTTCGCTGGCTGTCGTGTGGAGCTATCGGAGAGGGGTGCGCTGAGACTGGGGCCTGCGGCAGGGCTACCCCGTGCAGGGCTGTGCTGTGGGGTTACCGCTGTCACCCCCGAGGGTGTGGGTGGGCCGGGCCTGGCTGGGCAGCGGCCCTCCTGTCCTCTCTGGGAGGTTCCACATTCCTGAGAGGTGACTGTGGGGACTGGAGGAGGAGAGAGGAGGCTGGTTGGTGCAATTCTCCAGCAGTGAGAGGGGCCGGGCTTTGGGCATCCCCATTCCTGCCTGGGGCTGGGCCCTGGCCTGGTCCTGGGCCGAGTGGGTGGGGGCTCCTGAGAGTCCTCCAGGTGTGTTTGGGGAACACAAGAACCCCCAGCAGGCAGGTCGAGGGCACAAGCAGGATGGGCATCTACGTGGGTGTGGGGCGGGGGAGCTGGAGCACCCCACCGGGCAGCAGCGTGTGGGGCCTTGGCCAAGCCCATGCATTCCTAGGAAGGGGGCCGGTACCCACTTATATCTTAACCGGGCACCAGTGGGCTCCACATCACCCCTCATGTGAGCCTGTGGGCTCGGAGGGCAGGGGATGGTGTCCGGTGTCCACGTTAAACACCAGGATACCAAGGGGTGGGCTCGTCTGGGGTCATGACGGATACATGTGGGGGGTGGACAGATGCTTCATTATTCACACGGTTACCATGGAATTCCTGGCTTGTCCCCAGCAGCACTGAAGCCCCCTCTGCCCACCCATGAACAATAAAAGCCCATGGGGCCTGTCCTCCGACCCTGAAGCTCCCCAGGCAGGATTAGACAGCTGGCTTTGGTTGAAGGGTCTGATGTCTGACGTCTTCTGAGAGCAAGGGTCAGTGATCTGAGAAGACCCTGTGTCCTGTTGGAGGTGGGTATAGCAGGAGGCTCAGTGACCAGCCAGGAGGATGGGTGGGGTGTGACCTCTGGTAAGAGGCATAATAGCCTGTCCCTTACCATGTGGCTGTGCGGCCACCTGGTGAGGTGCCCCACATTGTCCGGCTCACAGAGGTGCTCGGGAAAGGTCTTGCAGCCCCTCTTTCCTCCTCCGTCCCAGCCTGCCGTTACCTTTTGGTCCTTGCCCGCCCTCCCTGCCTTCCACCTCCCCAGCCCTTCTGCCTGTGTTGCCCTTGGCCTCCACCGAGGCAGCTCCCCTCCATCTTGGTGAGGAGGCAGGACCTGGGCCTGGGCCATGGGGCAGAGGTGCCGGGGAGGCTGGGATTTTGCCTGCTTTTCTGATATGATGGAAAACGGGGTCAGTGTGTGGGGGTGGGTGGGTTTCACTGAACCCAGCAGCGGTGGTCTGTGTGGCCTCCCCTGGCCCTCATTCAGAAACAGGGACCTGTGACAGGGGCTCCACTGAGTGTCTCACTGGGGTTTGTGGCCTGGCACCTGGCTGCTGTCATCAGTAAAAGAGCTCACAGGAGGGCGGCGGCTCTGCTGTATGTGCCACCCGGTACCAATCGTTTGTTAGACACTCCCAGGTCGTAATCAGCTCACCTGTGGATCAGGTGAGGCAGGGTAGAGAACCCAGACACTGACTTGGCATACTCAGGAGCCTCAGTTTCCCACCACATAGGGGAGAGGGGTTCCCCAGACCCCAGACCCTGGGGTGGGCTGCCCCCTGGCAGTGAGTGTCCAGGAAGCCAGGCTCAGAGGCCCACAGCCGGCGGTGTGGGGGTGGCTGCCATGCGAGACGAATCTGCTGGAGGTTAACATGCCCTCCCTTCCTCTCGTGTCCTTACAGATCCCTCGTCCACCTACATCAGGCAGTTGGAGACCAAGGTGAAATTGCTGGAAGGTGACAAGCTCCTCACGCAGGTAGGCTGACTGCAGGTGGTGGTGGCTACTGCACCTGAGGGCCACCTCTCTGTGCTCCCCCATCCCCAGCTGACCTGGGCTCCCTTCCCCCTTGGTGCCCATCCTGCCCCCATCCCCACTCCTACCGAGTCACCTCCTGGAAAGCCAGGATCACGGACCTCATCCTGGCTTCCATGGCCTCCGGAGCTTCACTCCGCCACAGCCTTCCCATGCTGGCTGTCTCCCAGTGATCTGCAAATTCCTCGGAGTCAGCACTGGGCGACTTCACAGGTGGTAAAGAAATGGGCTGCTTTGCCCCTCTGGCAGACGGGCCATCAAGGCGGGAGAAGCAGTCAGTCCCAGCTGTGTCTGCTGGCCCTTGAGCAGCCGGCCCAGGATGCCCAAAGCGTTTCTCTGGGAACCAACCCCCAGGATGGCTCAGCTGCCTGGTCTTGTTGCTAGGTGACCAGCCAGGCTTGGTGCCCACCGCCCTGCTCAGGATGCCCCTGGCACCCTCTCCACCTGCTAGAGGCCTGCCAGGAGGCTCCTGGCCCCCAAGCATGGAGTGCAGCCCCCACCACTGTCATCCCCTGTCACGCCCCGCGTGGGCCACATGGACAGTCCCTACAGTGCAGCAGGACTTAGCAGAGTACACGTTTCCCATTTGGGTTCTTCCTCACTGTCCACCACAGCCCCACGACCACCATGCACACGCTTGAGTGCATGGTCAGGCATTGACGTGCAAGTCTGGTTTTATGATTTTATATGTTGGTTTAAGCAGCTGCACGGCAGAAGGGCTTTGGCCGCAGTGTGTGCTGGCTGCGCGGGGCTGGAGAGGGAGGGAGGCGCTGGGGTCTTGCCTGGCTGTGGGGTGGGGCTTCCTAGACCCAAACATTCCACATGGCCTGACCTGGGCCACTTGTGGGGTGGACTGTGGGAGCAGTGGCAGAAGTGGTTCCAGCAGTATTCAGGGTGGGGACGGAAGGGGCAGCATCAGAGCTCGGGGGACCTTGGCTTTGGAGCAGGGGAGGGAGTCACTCCTTCCAGGGAACAGCAATGCTAGCTCCTGGGGATGGGCCACTTCTCTGCACAATGAAGGCCAGGATCACGTTCCGGTGGCTGAACCTCAGGCCCTCTGGTCAGTGGCCTTATGAGGCTGCACCAGTCTGGCCGAATGAGCTTGTGTGTGTGTGTGCTGTGGAGGAAGGGGCACCGAGGTCCACTCCCCATTTTCTTCCTCAGAGTGGACTCTGTGACATGAGGGGGTCTTGCCCAGGGTCTTCCAGTAAGTGGGTGTCAGGGCATCCCAGCATCTCAAGAAAGGGGAGGCTGCATAGTGCTGGGGCCCTGGCCCCGTTGCATGGCACACCTTCCTGTCAATGTCCCCACACCTCAGCAGGGGACTGGCCCTGACCCTCACAGTCAGCAAAGGCCTGGGAGCTGGTGGCGTCGGCAGAGCCAGAGAGTCCCCAGGACCATGGACAAGGTTCCTGTTGGCCCTGCCCCTGCAGCTGCCAGCACTGAGCCTTGAGGGTGTACAGGTGCTGCTGGCCGTAGAGGGGGCCACTACTGTTCTGAGCCACTAAGGAAACAGACAGAGAGAGACAGCGTGAGAGAAGAAGCCTCTGGCCTGCTCAGGGCTTCCCAGTGGCAGTTGATAACTCGCCTGCCTTGGGATTCATGGGGTGGCTCCCATGGCACCAGCTTTATGAGGTTTCTCAAGCCACTTTCTCTCCTCAGGCCTCTGTTTGCTCATCCATAAAATGGGCATACACTCACTCAGTGTGTAATTGACTCCCCACTGTGCTCCTGACTCTGGGGCTGCAGGGATGACCAGGCCTAGGTCTGCCCTCAGGGAACTTGCGGTCCAGTCTTGCCCTTGTCCCTGCCTGACCTCCTCTTTGTCTCAGCCAGCAAGACTAATGTGCATGGAGGGGGCTGCTGGCAGACAGTGGATGTGGGGAGAGCCCCGAGGCAGGGCTCAGCCCACGATGAGAGTCGTGGTCTTGTTGGGTTTACCTCACCTTCTTCCTCCGGGCTCCTGCTCTTTCCTTCCTGGGCTCCCAGCTCAGGCGTGGCCTCCTGCCAGCAGCCCTCCCTGACCACCCGCAGGTGGCTCTGTGCTTGCTCTGAGTTCTCTCAGTCCCTGGGCGGCCTGGGTTTGCTGAGAGGGCATTGTGACCTGCCTTGTGGGTCCTGGCCCCTACCTCTGCTGGTCTGTCAGCTGTTGGAGGACAGGGCTACGGGGTCTGAGTGGCTGCGTCTGTGTCCCCAACACTCAGCACAGCTAAACTGGGTGGGTGCACCTAGGCCAGGAGGGGAAGCTGGTTCTTGCTCAGAATAAGGAAGGTCTGCTTAACCAAGGGAAGCCGCTTCACCAGGGAGTGAGGGGACCATCTTTGGAGGTAATCGAGGGATGGCCGGATGACCATGTTTGATGTTTGAGAATCTTAAAGAAACAGATTTACAACCATGAGTGGAATGCTGTCTTCTTCTCTGGCATGTGACATTTTATGATTCTGGTGTTTAAATCTTGTCAGTGAAATCAAATTGTGCAGAAAGCCCCAGCTTCGCACAAAGCAGGGAGCCTTCCTGTTGGCAAAAAGCAGGAGAGAGGAATATTCTTTGAAATATCGTAAGGTGACATGGCTTTGAGGTTTGGGTGGGAGGGCACAGAGCCTCCCTGGATTCCGGCCCCTTAGTGTCCCCCACTCCCCATGGCCTCTATTTAACTCCAATATAGCTTTAATTAAAAATGTGCCCGAGTGTTCAGACTAAATGACTATATTGCAGTTCGTATTTTCTTTCTCATGTCGGCTTTAAAATTTCATCAACACAGCTGCTTCCTCTGCGATGATTCATCTCAAGACTCGGTCCACGTTATTATTTTTCCTGTGGATTCTCTGTGCCCCGCCGGACTGGGCTGCGGGTGGCTGTAATTGACGCTGGGGCCTCTGGCGAACTCCCCTGCTGGGCTGATAAATGAAGCCTCATTGTGCGCCAAGAAGCCTGCTTCACAAAAGAGCAAGAAACGCTTGTAGAGGTCTCACGTTCACGGTCGAGCAGGCGGGGGCAGTGAGGCTGTGCTCCAGGCTGGTGACTGTGAAGGGCCCCCAGCCCGCCCCCTCCTCCTTGTCCCTGCGCCCACCTCTCCCCCATCCTGCCATGGACGCAGGGCCACTGACGGTGACCCTGGCTTTGCACCAGGCACAGATCGGGGAACTGGGGCCTGGAAGGGGGGGATTTCCCGACGTGGGTGCTGCCATAATAGAATTCCGCAAACTGGGGGGTTTAAACAACCAGAACTTATTCTCTCCTGGTTCTGGAGGCTGGAAGTCCAAGATCGAGATGTCAGCAGGTTTGGCTCCTTCTGAGGCCTCTCTCCTCACGTCGTCTTCTCTCTGTGTGTGTCTGTCTCCCAATTCCCCCTTTTTGTGAAGACACCAGTCATATTGGATTAGGGTCATTGGCCCACCCTAATGACCTCATCTTAATGTGATCACCTCTTTAAAGGCCCTGTCCCTGAACAGGTCACATTCTGAGGTCCTGGGGGTTAGGATGTCAGCACATGGATTTTTTGGGGTTTTTTTTTTGGTTGTTTGGAGGAAGGGGGGGCAAGATTCTGCATTTGCAGGACTGCAAATGAATGAATATAAGTTCTGGTTACTGTCTGCAAACTTTAAAAAAAAAATTTTTATTGAATCATAATTGATTATACATATTTTTGGTATTCAACGTTGACATATGTTGATAAATCAATATTACTAGCATATATATTGTTACAAATCGTACTTATTCTTTATGCCCCTTGTCCAATCTCTCCCCATCCCCCTCTCCCTCCCCCTCCCCCCTCTGACAACCCTAGATTTCTTCTCTCCCTTACTCTGTTGATCTGTCCAATGCTGAGAGGTGTGATCACGTCCCCCAATATTATCGTAGAGCAGATGTTTCTTCTGTCACTCTGGAATGGGCTTTGTGGAGAGACACATCCTCTTCTTTTCTTTCTCTCTGCTGGTGACTCTCCTTGTGTCAGTGCAGTCCAGTGGCTGGTGGACCATCTGCACGGTGGTTGTGGTGTCTAGCCGCTTTCGTGGCAGCTGAGGTTACTGTGGTGGGCTACCCACATGGAGGTGATCTTTTTGGCATGCTCCTTACCTAGTTGCTGGTGGCTCTTGGATCCATACCTCAGGACCTCAGGCAGGGCCCGTGACATTGGTGGTGTGCCTGGTTGTGGGAGGAGGGTCCAGTCCCCGGCTCTGTGCCTCAACAACAGTGGTGCTGTTGGCCCAATAGTGTAAGAAGATGGGTTTGAACATGGGTATAGGAGTCTGAGTTCCAATAATCCCTGCCCCAGTGCTCACTTGTTATGTGGCTTTATCTCCTGTTGCCTCGGTTTCCCCACCTGTAGAACAGGGATGATGCCCAATGCAGCTCGGGCTGTGGCACCTGGGAAGCACTCCTGGGTGCCTTTTCCTGGTCCAAAGGATCCAGGATTTTGCAAGGTCTGGCTGGCTGTGCCCCCTTGGCCGGTGGTTTGGGCCTGACCCTGAGTGAACCACTGCTCTTTGTCCTCTGACTTTCGAACCTATCTGGGCTGGGGGAGAGGGGAGTGTTCTTGCCACCATCTGAGCCATCTGAGCCTGTTGCTGACACCTTAGTTATGTTTCCCGCATCCCTGAGGAGGCCAGGGCTGTCCTGACCCACAGGTTCCTTTGCACAAGCCCCCTGGAGATGCTGGCCTCCGTAATTCCATGGCAGCTGTTCTGCTGGTTGGCATCTTCTGGAATGCACTGCCTTGTTAACGGGCTTTGTCCTGGCCCCTCTGTCATGGGTAGCATAGCCTCTGGGTGTCTGGAGGGCTTTAGATGCTTCCTTGGAAGAACCTTAGAGTCGGTCCAGCCTCTCCCTTGCTCAGGTAGGAAACCCCTCCTCCCAGAAGATGGTCATCTATCAACATGGGCAGGAAGGGAGACTAGGAAGACCACTTTCATGCCCTAACATTGGAGGCTTAACAAGTGGTC